ACTTTATTGATTTAATTAATTATTTTAATGTTCCAAACACCTAATTTATCAATATTTCAATTTGAACGTAATTTAGTTTCGATATTCTACAATTTCAATTCAATTTTTATCTATTCCGTACATTCTGTGCGATTTTTATTTAACCTCAATTTTATATTTTGAATTAATTTTGAAAGTAAATCAAGATTCAATAATACTTATTAAAAATTGAGGTGCTACACGAGTGTCAAGTTGGCACTACACTTTCTTAACACTAGATTTACCATCTATTTATTCATTTTGACTGGTACTGGTATAAATGTCAATAACAGAAATTATATTCGTTACTAATGTATATAAAATAACATTAAGTTTATAAAATGTATTCTCTACTTATAGCTACAAAAGTCATAACATCATTTCTGAAATCAAATGATATATGTAGTAGGAATTTTGAATTGAAATTCTACGACCAGTCAAAATGACTGGTCTGGTAAATCTAGTGTTAAAAATGTTTCAACAATAGGCTTCGTCAATAGTCCTTAAAAAGTTCTATAGTTCCCGGTCTCGTTCTAAGTGTTGCATTGTTAACCAACGGTGAGTAAATAAAATCGTACTCCCGGACTCGCCGCTACGATTTAGCGCCATGTTTTTGGTGTCGCCTAAAACCGTAGCGTGGTGCAACTCCCTACTCATCTCTGGTATTAACGGGTGAGTTTACGTCATGGCACAGCAATAATTTAAATGCCTCCTCCTTTTTTGCATCAGCATTTGCATTCGTCAATTTGTCACACCTTTAACGCATAGCAATGTCCCATTAATCACTGTTACAAGAAATAAAATATTTCGTATGACTTTCTCATTTAAAAAATAACATACCAGTCAGGATAGGGATACCAGCTGAAAGACGTGACAAATAAAAATCAGCAATGCCTTGACAATTAAATAAAATAAATGCGCATTGTTTCAGATAAAAATACAACACAGCCAACAAGTATCGAGATTGTCGAAAGCACTATCGAGACTGCAGGAAACGAGAATCAACGAGATAAAAGAATCGATCTTGACGAGTATCGATCAGCAGCATAAACAGAGCTTCGAGGTTTCGACGCAGACGTCGCGCGCGACGCTAGAATTTGACGCGTCAACAGTTGCCGTTAGAACGTCAATGGCGGCGGGACAATCGGAGGCGGAAATTATGTTGTTGAAACCGGAGGATGATCCAGAGGAGGACATGAGGCAGCAACTGATGACGAACGAGAAGCAGATCGATTATCTTCAGCGACAGAACATCCGATTGGCCAGAACGCTGAATCGACTGCAAAGGCACAGACGTTCAACCCCATGTTAAATGACGCATCCACAATGCACGATAGGTCTGTCGTCGCTCTGGGATTTATGTAGAGCCAAGTAAGCGATAGCTCAATCCTCGAAAATCCAGTGTCTCCCGAAACGTAGAAAACAACCAGTCCAAAAGCTCGAATCCCATTCAGCCTCGTACCACAGCATCCAGCCAATCTGTATTCCTTGTTTTCTAAGATAAGACAGGGTGAAGACGTATCCTTGGGGTGAGTGTCCATAAGTTACACCGTTAACGATACCAACGGATCCCAGTGAAATTCGTCGCGCGTAAAATTTAAGACCGTTTCGACAGACAATTTCGTTAGATAAGACAGGATTTAAAATACTGGCCAACTTGGTTATACGCTCACGAAACATTCTCTTTTATCTCTATCAGATTTCCCTAACAGTTTGTAAAAGAAAAAGAAGTCAAATAAAGACCTATCCTAAGAGACTCACCTCTTTCTTTTTATTCGCTGTAAAACATCTTTTGTTCTTAATCAAATTATTGCATTAACGCCATCAATAAAATTTTCATAATACACTCTTGCGTTAACCTTAAATGTCTTATAAGCTCGATTAATCATCAGCTGATAGTTTCGGCATCGCGCAAGACGCCTAAAACCACGTCCATCCACGTCGTGAAATTAGCTCCAGATCGATCAGCGTCTCTGACGGAACTATGCCGGGAAGTAGTTATCGAGGGCTGTCAAAGTTACGTATAATATATGCGCCCAGGTTAAGGAACATCGAGGTCCCGCAGAGTCAGCAGTGGTATCGCTCGTAAGAAAATCAACGTCGCTCGATCAGCCATCATTTTGCCGAACAATTATAACTCACGGTAAAGTAATTTTGATCTAATTACACTTCCACCTTAATTAACGATCGTCATAAGCAATAAAATCAAACTGACTCTGCGATTTCCACCGACTTTCGCGTTAATTCAATTTACCCCTTATCGAGGAGCCGTCATAAAACTCAAATCAGCACGAACCGTCTCAGCGACAATCAAGAGGAACAGAGGACAAATCATTAACCATGTAGAAGGAACCGACCTTTTTCAAAATATATTTTTCCCTCTATTTCCATTTTATATATATTTACAATTTATCTCGTAGAGTTTAGTTTTTAAGTAAATAATCCTGTGATCCTAAACCACTAGTCTGGGTTCGATTGAAAAAAAAAGAAGAGAGTAAAGAAGAGGAAAAAAAAGAAAGTAAAGTGGGAGAAACGAGTCGAAAAGAAAATATATATAGCTTCACTCTGGCAACGTGGTCTTGCAAGCTCTTCATCTTCTTCGTCGCGATGCCGTACGCGAAGGGATGCTGGGGGGGCCGGCGGCGGAAGGGGGAGGCAGTATCTGCTGACCATAATTTCCATATAAACACCCTTGTCCCATCTTCTTCTTCGGTCTGTCTCTTGCGTCACATCCGGTTTCTCTCTCTCTCTCTCTCTCTCTCTCGCACCCTCTCCCCTGTCTCTCTGTTCATTTTCCTCGTGTGTACAGATGATTGCGTGATACAGAAGTGTTGTGATACAGGAAACACATGCGTCAATGGACAGGTTCCCATCGTGTGACACAAAAATGGCCGCCGTTAAAATTAATATAATTAATTCGTGATAGGGGGGGGGGG